ATATATTTTTTTTACACAAAATGAATTAAATTGAAATAAATGATGACCTGGAGAAAATCTGACCTGCTGTTTAGAGAAACACCTGTAGATGTGCTTTTACAGCCAAACACACGTAAAGTGCAAAATAAATAAATACATATTTACTATAAGCATAAAACATGTGTTCTGACTTTCCTTTATCTAACAAAAAAGTCAACTAGTCATGTTCAACTACACGATCTTTAGACTAATATAAAGCATTTGTCTTAATTCATTTCGTTATTATTTTTCTTTCACTTTATTCGTTTTATGTCTTATTACACTAAAATGATCAAATTAAAATGTTCAATTAATATCAAATGGCAGCATTACTTTACAGAGATGCAGCATGCTCCTGTAGTCCTGTGAAAAGAGATGAACAATGAAAGAAAAATTTATTTCAAAGGCAAAGAGGTTTGTTTTGGGGGTTTTAGTATGTTATAAAAAATAATTGAGCATAATGGCAGTAATCTCAAAGCTTGTCTTGTTCTGAATGAAGCACAACGCCTCCTGTAGCCTGCATTTGTTTTACTTGTTTAACACAAAACGGGGAATAAAAAGTGTCCAGCACCAAAATCCTGCATAAATCAATACGTTTTAAATAGAGTTTTATATAATAAGTAAAATCCACTGATAATGATAATATTTTAGCGATAATATTTTAGCTCATAGATGAATTTCATTATCAGTGAATTTTACTAATTTACAAGAAAGGCATAAAAAGTGAATTAAGGACATTATTTTAATTATTACTGTTTTAATGTTTTATTATTCAGATGGCCAATGTCTGTCTAGTGAGGTTATTTGTGCATAATTTAAGGCCTATTTTAGCCCAACCCTTCATATTTCTTATTCAATCTTTTATATTTGAAACACTGAAGTCCACTTATTATTGACTGTGATATACAACTTTAATACATGTTTGTAAATGAATTGATAAATACATTTAATACATGTTTGTATGCTTTATTAGTAAAAGATAATAAATGGTGCTGCTCACTGCAGTTTATACTGATATTTCTGATAGCAATTTAATAATAATTGCTGAAGCTTTCATCACTGTATATGTCACGCTTTATCTGTTACGAATTTATTATCTGACAAAAACAGCAACTGAGTATTAGGGCGAAACAAACTTAGGCGATCAGAGCGCCAACTTGGATCACCCCGCGCACCTCACTTTACTGATGACGAATAAATAGAACGAGAAGAATGCCGTTGCCATGGCCGACAGAATTCCTCAGAGTGACAAACGATCGAGTACAGTGAACAGTGATTTAATGACTTTAGCAATTTGTTTTGCATCTCAAGCAGAAAATAATATGTCAACTGTGTTTTTTACTCGAGAAAATTTGATCACGCCTGTATTTGTCAACAACTATCATCAGAGTGACTCGATGGCTTCTCCTACAACTCCTACCATGTCGAGAAGCCCAACAGGTGAGATGAGAGTTTACAAAAACGGTGTATTCTCACCTATTATTTAATAAAAACTATAAAATAATAATATATCGTCATATAACGCAACTTACCGACTTAACAGGCAAATATTCAACCTCTCGTGATTGTTTCGTGTAGTTATGATATTGTGTATTTTCTGACTTTGTGATTGAGGCCTGCTGTCTGTCAGTTTATGTATTGACATTCTGGCTTTTAAGTTTCTCCTTTCCACTCTACAGAAATTGTGCCTTGTTAAAGTTTCTGATAAAAAAAACATTCAAATATTACTTTAATTTAAACTCTATGTGTAGACCTGCACAGTAATTTTCTTAGTTTTTGATGTTGTGGAGGAATATTTGTTATATTTGAGAAAACTGAGTGAAAATGTTATATTTAAGTCTTTTATTTGTTTAAGCAGGGATAAATTAATACAATTGAGGGAAAGTTGGTTTTACATTCACACATTCTGACTTTCTCCTTTAAAATATAATAACAGAAATATTGTTTCAAATTCTAAATGGGGAAATCATCATAACACCCAACGACTATCATTCTACAACATTGTTTACAGTCAATTAATTAGTGATAATGTTAATTTAAAGTCTTACTTACATGCGTTTTCAGACCCAATATTCAAATTAGCATGGTAAACAACTTAGAGACCGGTAAATGAACAAATATGCAAATATAAACCCAACTTTACATCCATAATAATAAATGTCTACAGCTCTGTTTCTGTAACTGAAGTTCTGGAGCAAGACTTCTCTTTTCATTTAGATTTCAAAGACTGATTGTTAAATGTTTAAAGTTATAATTTACTCACAGATTTCTTAACTGAAGATCCAGAGCGAGAGAAATTGTTCACTTAAGTTTGACGATTGCTAATGGAAAGCTGAAAAAATGTGGATTAGTTTTTTTGTGGTGGAGAAGTGGTGCTTGAGGAAGAATGAAGATGTAGATGTGGCACCCACTGACAAAAATTAAAGAAATAAAAGGCTTCATAAATTTGATTAAACATTGTGATGGTGATGTTAAATAGCTCAAACTATAACTGTAATAAAATATTCTATAACTCAGAATATTGACTCAAAAATGAGTAAATGGATGACTTACTATTTATCTGGTTGTGTTTGTCATTTCACATCATAGAAATGATTTAATTAATTAATTGTAGCTTACAAACATTTTCTATTATAATTGTACTTTTATTGTTGTTGTTTCTTTTGTGTGATTGTCTTTTATATGTTAAATTTTCAGCAGTTTGTCTATTTTAAACCTGTGGTTAATGAGTTTTCTAATATTTCCCTGTTCATTTCCTTTACTTTAGAAAACCCAGAGAAACGGAGGAAAGGGAAAAGAGTCTCTGCTTTCTTTAAGAGAGCATGGAAGGCTGCAAAGCGCCCTTTCCTTAGCTGTGACCGGAGCAGAGTGGTTCCCTTTGAACCACAGTCGGATGTCAATGATTTCGAGCATCTGCCTGTTCCAGGTCCCTCCAGGACCGTCACAGCACATGCAGACCTTGAGCCGGTGTTGCTGCCAGGCCAGGTCTGTGAAGAACCTCAGCCGTTGAGTGTTCCGGGCCCCTCCAGAATCAAGCAAACAGCAGAAGTGCCAAATGCAGATCCGGCCCGTCCTGAGTCCTCAACGGCCCTCACAGGTCATGTTGACACTGAGCAGATGCGTCCGCCAGTCCAGGTCTGCGACAGTCTCGAGTCGTTGGCTGTTCCTGGAACATCCAGGATCAAGCCAACGACCATCTCAGATCATGTTGACCCTGAGCAGATGCGTCCGCCAGTCCAGGTCTGTGAAGATCCTCAGCCGTTGAGTGTTCCGGGCCCATCCAGGATCAAGCAAACAGCAGAAGTGCCAAATGCAGATTCGGCCCGTCCTGAGTCCTCAACGGCCCTCACAGGTCATGTTGACACTGAGCAGATGCGTCCGCCAGTCCAGGTCTGCGACAGTCTCGAGTCGTTGGCTGTTCCAGGACCTTCCAGGATCAAGCCAACGACCATCGCAGATCATGTTGACCCTGAGCAGATGCGTCCGCCAGTCCAGGTCTGTGAAGAACCTCAGCCGTTGAGTGTTCCGGGCCCCTCCAGGATCAAGCAAACAGCAGATTCGGCCCAACCTGAGTCCTCAACGGCCCTCAACGGTCATGTTGACACTGAGCTGGTGTGTCTGCCAGGCCAGGTCTGTGAAGATCCTCAGCCAATCAGTGTCCATGGCCCCTCCAATACTAAGAAAATGACGGATGCAGATTCGGCCTGTCCTGAGTCGCCTCCGTCTGTTCAAGACCCCTCTAAAATTGATGGGACTGATGGTGAGTTATCCTGAATTTGGTTCATTTTATTTCTGCCATCTGTTATTTTTTATGCTTTGTTGTTTTTAGTTTATAAATCAGACAGTGTCATTTGTTGTACTGTTGGTTGTGTATTAATTAATACAGTGCTAAACAAATATGAGTACACCCCCACAAATCTCTCATTTAAATTCATATTTTCTATAGGATGCTTTACAATATTATATTTGTGCATGTACATTAGTTTAGTCAGTACTGAAGCCAAATCTGGAGCTTATCTAACAAAATCACTTACAATAATGGTTCAAAAATTAGTAGCCCAAATGTATATGTTAGGAGAAAATATTCAAATAAATTTTCCAAAATAGCAAAAATCAAAGAGAAAAAAAATATATAGACAATTTTGTTGAAATTTGTTTTTTTTGTTTTGCACAGATTTAATTGTATTATCTTTCCATTTCTAAAAATGTTCTGTGACTAAAATATTAATTTAATAAATAAATCTTTAATACATCTGTTTTGTTCAAATGCACCAATATATATTACCCATAATCACTGAGAAATGGATAAAAATATTCATTTTCAAAATAGGGTGTACAGCATATATGAATATTCTGAGCACTGTAGCTGCAGCTCTGTTCATGGAGATGTTTCTGTTTGTTGTCTTCATTTTAGAAAAACCCAAGAAAGGAAGGAAATGGAAAAGAGTCTCTGCTTTCTTCAAGAGAGTATGGAAGGCTGCGAAGCGTCCTTTCCTGTGCTGTGACACAGATGTAGTCCAGCGTTTTACGCCACAGCCTGAGCCCGAGCTCGAGTCAGACCCAGACCTTGACTCAGAATGTCTGCCATGCCAGGGTGGTAAGTCATCATTCTGTAATTCATAATTAATATAAATTAGTAATCAGTTTACTCCTGCAATTCTGATAGAAGTTACTGCTTTTAGATCATTGCAATAGATCAAGATTTGAAGGACAGGAGTCATTTATTTGATCCGATTCATACCAGACAATCCCAATAATTCTCCCTGCTTTATTCAGGATTTGATCTGTCCCAGTTTGAAGTCGGAGACCTGATTGGAAAAGGAGCTTTTGGCGAGGTGTATGTGGCATCTCACAAACGCAGGAAAAGAGTAAAGGTAGAGAACTATTTTTTAAATTCAGTCAACATTTTCCTCCTGATTATTAAATATAAATCATTTGTTGGCTTTAATTTAATTTGTTGTTGTTGTTTTTTTCGCAGGTTGCCCTGAAGTGTATGATGAAGAGTCAAGAGGACCGTTATCTGGACGTTGTAAGTTGAATAATTCACACAACAGTGAAAATGTGCCGAGCATTTACTCATCCTTCACTTGTCACTTGTTTTGAACACATGAATGTCGGGCTGTGGAATTCATTAAAATTCATTTAACATTAATGGAGAAATCTGTTTTCTTTCTAGGATGGTCATTCCACACCTGTGCTTGCGGAAGTGGCAATGATGCTTAGGTTGATGAATGCACCGCGATGTCCAAACATCATCAGATTACACGACTGGGTTGAGCTTGAGGACAACTTTGTTCTCATTCTGGAGTACGCAGAGTCATGCCAGACCTTGCTTCAGTACATCAAAGATACAGGGGACATTGAAGAAAACCAAGCACGCCGGTTAATGCGTCAGTTGATCCGAGCCGTAATGTTCTGCACCGAGCGTGGAGTTTTCCACGGTGATATACACACGGCGAACATCCTGGTGACTCTACCCCGATTAGAGCTCAAATTGATCGACTTCGGTTGTGCTCAGCCAATTACCCACAAGCCTTTCAATAAAAGTGACTATCGAGGTGAGTTGGCATTTAGTGATAGTTTCTTTGTTCACCGTATTGTCTTATGAAATGACTGAATTCTGGAAATGTCTCTCTTACAGGAGCTGGACACGGCATGCCACCTGAGGCTTTGAGGGGTCGTGTATTCCATGCTAACCCGGCATACGTCTGGACAATAGGCATCATGCTGTATGAAATAATGCATGGACGACTGGCCTTTTGTAACAGACAGTCATTAATGTTTGGCTCCATTCAGATAAACCCCAGATTATCTACAGGTAAGCAGACACCTCTGAACAATCCCAGCCTCAGTGACAGAATAACACATGTCAGTCATAAGTCAAATAGATTAAATATAATGCTCACAGGACCTGTAGATATTAAAGTCACTTAATTGTGGATGTTTTGTAACATTTGATGTAGTAAGATTTAAAGACGTTCATGAATCTTGAGTATGCAGACGTATTTCACACTCTCTGTGCCACTTTTCAGCATGCGTGGACCTGATTTCCCAGTGTTTGATCCGTAATCCAGTTCAACGGCTACAGTTACATCAGGTTGAAGAGCACTGCTGGTTCAATCCAACGACCCCAAATCCTGTGAAGCAGTTCTTCAAGAGAAGGTAGAGGAACACACAGAGTTTTATTTGACAGCCCTTCATATTACTGCTTAAATAGCTTTGTGTTGTTTCTGATTGTTTTTCTCCATTTTAGAAAACACTAAAGAAGCGAGGAGGAGGAGGAGAGCACCATTTCCAGACATTTCACAAGACTGTTAAAGTTATTAATTACTCCCTCATGTCATTCCAAACCCCTAAGACCTCACTTTTCCTCAGTGTCAGTTCATGACGTGTGTTGATGAGAGCTCTGTCCTGCGCTGTATGTGTGTCGCACTGCTGACGTTTACCTCAGATGTGCCCACGCTTTGTTTAAATGAGAGGAAGTCGCGCAGGCCTCTGGGTTAAACACCAGCAGTGCGACACACATGCAGTTAAGGACATAACTTTTGAAGTCATTATTTCTGTTTTATTATTTTTGTGTTTTTCTGTCTGCATAAAAGAAGTTTCGCTTCAAAATGACAGCTCTAGCTCCAAACTCCCTGACACCTTTCTTCATCTTCAGAAAACAAGTGAAACTATTTGAGATGAAATGCGAGAACTCTCTGATCCTCCGTAAACCACAAAGATGAGAGAAATGTTTAAATCCCAGAAAACTTCAAAACCATGAGAGCTCTGTCCTGCGCTGTACGTGTGTCGCACTGCTGACGTTTACCTCAGATGTGCCCAAGCTTTGTTTAAATGAGAGGAAGTCGCGCAGGCCTCTGGGTTAAACCTCAGCAGTGCGACACACATCCAGTGCACTGTGCTCTTATGAACGTGTGGTTTGAGGGTCAGAGAGCTCTCAGATTTCATCTAAAGTTTTCATTTGTGTTCTCAATATGAAGTAAACATGAATTTGAACTAAGGACATGAGGTCAGTAATTAATGACAATAATGGTGATTAATGGTGCCTAGACTGCAGCTCCGCACAAGACGTTTGGCCAGAGGAGAAATGGTCGTGCCCAACTGAGCCTGGTTTCTCTCGAGGTTTTTTTTCCTTCACTTTAGTCAATTGGTGAAGTTTTGTTCCTCGCCACTGTCGCCGCTGGCTTGCTTGGTTTGGGACTTGTGGAGCTGCGCTTCGATGGATTTGCTCTTTAGTGTTTGGACATTCGGCAGTGACAATTAAACCACACTGAACTGAACTGAACTGAACTTCAACTCTGAAAACTGGACTTTTTAAACATATATGAATCTGGTGTTCTGTCATAAGAGAGAGAGATTGTTAAGTGTTCAGAATATTTTGTAATGAATTGCTTGTATGTATTGTTAATAATTCAAATAAAATCATGTGAATCATACTGAAGCTCTGATCATCATTTCTGTGAGTTTTCTAAATCAGTGGTTCTTAAACTGTGGTACGTGTACGACTAGTGGTACGCGGAAGAATGAAATATGTTAAATATATGCTACAAACATTTCAAAATTTATCAATAATTATGTATAATGTGCCATATATGACATATAGCCTATATTTCTGTAATCTGCCACATTTAACTGTGCAGAGTTGTAGCTGCTTTACTGGGCCTACTACGCTACTGTATTTCAATACTGCTCATTTTTGGTGGTACTTGGAGAGAAATTTTTTTCTGAGGTGGTACTTGATGAAAAAAGTTTGAGAACCACTGTTCTAAATGACTCCTTACTCAATTAAAGAGATAGTTCTCCCTAAACTTTTTACTCAAGCGCTTCCAAACCTTGAGTCGGGCCAGACAGAATCTGCGGACGTTTTTTGCTATTTCTGCTGAGAATTTTGGTAAAAATCTGCGGATTTCTGCGGAATTATTTTGGGAGTATCCAGCGGAGTGTCATAACTAAAACCTTAATATATGAAATAAAAAGTAATAAATTACTGAATAAAAACTGAATAAATTCAGATTTACACATTTACTCCAGTAAATAAACAATTAATGATGGGCTAAAAATCTGCATAAATCTGCGGAATTCTGCGGAAAATCTGTGAAAAATCTGCGGAATTCTGCGCGCTGATTCCATGTGGGCCTACCCATGAGTTTCTTCTGTTGAACACTAAAGATACTTTAAAGAATCCTGAAAATCTGTATCCACTGACATTCATAGTAGGAAAACAAATACAATGAAAGTCAATAATTACAGGTTTCAAGCAATTTTTTAAAATACCTTCTTTTGTTTAAAACAGAAGAAAATCATAGTAAGGGCTGAGTAAAAGATGACAGAATATTCATTATTGGGTGAAGGAATCTCTTTACTGAATCAGTAGTGCCATATACTGTTTACTATGATTTAACACATTTATGGAGCCTGTTTAGCCAAATGGAACCACAGAGAAGGTTTTACTGTTAGACAATATGTTGTTTTATATTACAATATCATATACTGATATAACAAATATTTCCCCCCCTGGTACAGTCAAGATTGCAGGCTAACTTTTGAGACTAAATTGTTCAAACTTTGACAATTTCAGTTTAAAGCAACAGTTGACTCGAGTAACTGGACTGTGTTTGACGGCTTTTATGTATACGGCTCCAAGAGAAGTTGCTGAATACCTAAGGTCTACTTGATGCCAAGCAGATACACTGCATAGGTCAAACATTGGGAACACAAGCAACTCTGGGTTCAGGCCTGTATTGACCTTATTCTAAAATGCGGAAGTGCACCTGTTTTCGCGATTGTCTTAGAACTTCGTTTCAGTCGCCTATGGGAGAAATGACTAGGAATAATAAACGGCAAAAACGGGTCAAACTGCTTGCTCTACAAACATTCGAGGTTACAGAAGTAACCCTTCGTTCCCCGAGGAGGGGAACGGATGTGCCATAGAGTGGATTGATTGAAATCCACGAAATGGGAGGATTCGGTTCAGAAGCCGCTTGTCTGAAAGAGTATTGAACGGGCCAATGAATGCAATGAATTGGCAGCGTAAGCTTGCACAGGTGTACTTCATTGCCAATTATCCCAGCATATAAGCACACCTGGAGCGAGCACAACCATCCTTTTAAGCTGAAGAGACTTTCAAACAGCTAAGGGACAGTCATTATGGCGACGGAGTATGGCACTTCCGTTCCCCTCCTCGGGGAACGAAGGGTTACTTCTGTAACCTTGAACGTTCCCCTTCGGTTGGGGAACTTCAGTGCCATAGAGTGGATTGATTGAAATCCACGAAATGGGAGAAGTATGGAAAGCGCCATAATGACTGCACCTTACCAACGCCCCTGATGAGGGGATTGTCAAGCAAGCGTGACGCACCCACATCATGGGAGGCGCGGTCCTCCAACGTGTCCCTGGCCCTAATTTATCCTACTTCAACAGAAGTTTTACGGATTTAGATATATTTTTGGGAAGTCGTGAGCATCTAGATAATTCTAGGAAATACGACAGTACGTTGGGAAGCGTGCAATCCCGATAGGGAGGACGCTGCGGAGGCCATCCGTTACCCAAGGGGGGATAGATGGCAGAATTTACATATGGACTAGCCCTAAAAAGGGGGAGTACGCATAGCAAAAAAGTGGTTAGCGGAGAGGGAAGACACGGGTCCGCCCGGGGGGGGGGGACTTAACCGTGGCGGAATAAGCATATGGGATCGCCTAGTGGGGATCACGCATAGCAGGCACCTTTACCCAAAACGCGGGCTGACCAGCGGGCAGACCTGCAACGTAGTGGGCCAGCAAGTGACTCCTCCGCTGAGTCAGTGCTGGGGGCCACGGAGGAATCTGCAGGGCTCACCTGATGGGGAACTTTACTGACAGATAAAAAGGCGCACGTACCTCCGTGTTAGGGAGAATGGCGCAGCAAGCGTGTTTCAACACCCTACCGAATTGTTTCCTCAATCACCAAGGGTTACCTAATACCCTTGAGGAAACCGGCTCCACTCGCAGATTGTAAAACCTTGCAAATGTGTTGGGTGTCACCCAGCCCGCAGCTCTCCAGATGTCTGTTAGGGGGGCGCCGCGTGCGCGCGCTCGAGAGGATGCGAAGCTCCGAGTGGAGTGCGCACGCGCTCTCGGGGGACGCGGCTCACCTCGGCTCTGATAGTGAAAGAAAGGCATCCACAATCTAGTGGGAACTTATTTCGGTACAGCACTTCCCTGCTGCTGACCGCTATAACAGATGAAGAGCTGCTCAGATGATCTAAACTCTGAGTGCGGTCCGGATAATACGCAAAACGCGAACTGGACAAGAAGAAGGGCTGGGTCTGCCTCCTCCGAGGGCAGCACTTGCAGGCTCACTACCTCGTATTAAAACTGAGTGGTAGGAACCTTGGGCACATATCGCGGGCGGGGTCTCAGGACGTGAGAGAAAGCCAGCCCAATTACAGGCACGAGTCACTGACCGAAAAATGCCTCCGGGTCCCCGACCCTCTAATCGATATCAACGCGACCAGCAGAGCTGTCTTCAGGGACAGAAAGATACTGAGTCGAGGATCGAAGGGATCTGACGCGGCTTGTGTAGCGAGGGCGAGATCCTAAGAGGGCATGAGAGGGGGCGGGGTGGATTAATTCGCTTAGCGCCCCTGAGGAACCGGATGATGAGGTTATGCGTTCCCACGGTGCTGCCAGCCACCGCGTTATGAGAGCGGAGATGGCAGCCACGTAACCTTGAGTGTGGAGGGCGACAGCCTGCTCTCCAGCTTCTCTCGGCGTAAAGAAAGCACAACGCTGATCTGGCAAATTACTGGGGTCTTCTCTGCGAGAGACACACCATTCAGTGAATAGACTCCACGTCAGGGCATAGGCGCGCTCGG